CAGCTCAGCGTGGGAGTTCAGGCAGAGGCCCAGAAGACCTTCTGTGCTGGGAAGTCAGGTGGCCAGGACCTCGAAGGGTGGGATGGGGGAGGGCTTCCTGGCCCTTGGAGAGCTGAGAAGGGAGCAAGATGCTAGAGAAGGGATTCCTGCGAAGAACCAAATGAAAGTCCTTTTCAAAGGTCAATTTGGGGAAATTGAGGCAAGAACTATGTCTTGGCCACAAAGTTGCCATGCTGGAGGTAGAACCAGACACCCAAGCTTCTGTTTTCAGCAAGCAGCTCTGTGGCCCAGTGGCTTAAAGGACTCATCCAGTAAACAGAGAGCCTGGATTGGAGGCCTGAGCTCTGCCACTTGCTAGTCTTGTCTTGGACAAGTTACTTTATTTGTGACATCGTTTCTATAGAACATGGATGGTGAAAATGACAGTAATTGCCTCCCAGGGCTGTCGTGGGATTGTATAATGCCTGGCACGTGTAATCAATCAACACTAGCCATTATTACTGCACTCTCTATTTTTTTATTCCATTTTTCCTTTCTTTGGAGGTCTGGAGACCAAATCTCCAGCATATTTTTCAGCCTACCTCCAGCATCCTCCATCGTGCCCTCTTGGGAGCTGGAGACGGATTCTTGGCACCTTACTTCTGGTATTGTATCTTCTCCCACCAAGCAACTCACTGAACAAGGTCATTAAAACAGTGGAGTATGGACAAAGGTATCTACAGGTATACATGGTGACCGAACTGTGAGAAACTTGCCCTGAATAAAACCGAGTGAAATGACGGGGGCAGAGGTGGGGGCGGGGGAAGGAGGTAAGAGGTGTATTTCAGGACAAATCAAACTTAGTGGTTTATTCAAATCCTAGGGCCACCCAGGGATTTCTAAGCTTGCCCCATCAATGTGGGTACCCCACCCCCCACCCCGGGGAGGCCCAAAGAAGCCCCAAAGACCTTGGGCTGGACAAGACCTTTGTGCCCACCCTAGATAAGCCCTGAGGCATATGGGGCCATCTTCCTTTGTTACTTATCTCTTGACACCCCCAAATGTTTGCCTCCTTGAAGGAGAACTAGGGCTCCCAAACCCACCAGTTACCTCCACTTGAGCTCCAAAAACACTTGCCCTGGTGGGGTTTCTGTGTAAAGTATCAGACCACATCCTAGGATCTCTAGTTCACAAGTATCCCTAAATATTCCTAAGCCCCTTCCCACATCATCCATCCTATATCAGAAGACCAAACCAAAACCCACTGCCGTCGAGTGATTCTGACTCATAGTGACCCCATAGGGTTTTCAAGGCTGTAAATTTCTACAGAAGCAGACTGCCACATCTTTCTCCTGCAGAGCCACTAGTGGTTTTGAACTGCCAACCTCTTGGTTAGCAATCGATTGCTTTACCCACTGCACCACCAGGGCTCCTTATAAAAGAAGACAGAGCTGGTGAATTGACCAGAGTAGCTTTCATATCCAATCAAAAATAAAATTAGAAAATCCTAACTTAAACAAACCAAAACACTATAAGCAATATAAATGGGAGGAATTTTGTTCTCTCACATAAGGTCTTTGTAGGTGTGCTGTTGTGAATACAAATGTTTCATTTTGTTTCCAGGAGGCTCAGTGACTTTTTGAGGATTCTGCATGAACTCCACTGGGCAGCCCTATAGGCTCTTACCTCCCGTTCTACTTGAAGGAATATAGTCCAAGATCTACTCACAGGACATTTATTGCAGCTTTAGACCTATTCTTAAACATCCAAATTAAGCAAACACTTACCTAAATTGTTCATGGTTCACTGAGAATCAACAAATCACAAGAACCTATTGTTTGACCCCATAAGCATCCCTCCATCTGTAAATAATGAGCTCTTCTGCTCATGTCTAAGCTCATGAACTAGCAAATAATTTAAGTACTTTCACTTCTGATCATGTCTTAGTTCATGAACCAGCAAATAATTTTAGTACTTTCAGGGAAGTGTATTTTTCTTGCAGCAAACAAGATTCATAGGCTTTGAGTTGGAACGGCTCTAGAAGGTCCCATGAAGGTGAAGGTCCACCCTTTGCTTGCATACTTCCCATGACAAGACATTTGGTGTTTCTCAAGGGAGCAGAGGCTTGTGACGGAGTAGACAGCAAGCTGTCCTTCCATGCATCCATCCATCTCCTCATTCATCAGATACTCGTTACTGTAGTGGGCAATAAAATCACTTCTCCTAGAGACTAGCTCATCAGTTTTATAACCGAGAACATAGGATCAATCAGGAACAGGCTTTGTAAAAAAAACTTTTTCCTATTACAAAACAACATATGATCATTGAAAAAAAATAGAAAACACCATAACACAAAAGTTAAGAAGTACCCACAATGCCATCAGGAAGATGGGGTCTTAAGTGGCCATCTTCACAGACTCCTTTCTTGGAGGGATAACCTTTGCCTCATCCCAAGTCTCTGTACAGTTGGACATCTGTTCCCTACGGAACTACATTCAACATATACTTATCGTCCAACTCCTCCAGAGGTTCGATGGTTTGTGGAAGACACCTGTCTTAGATATCTAGTGCTGCTGTAACAGAAATACCACAAGTGGATGGCTTTAACAAACAGAAGTTTATTCTCTCATAGTTTAGGAGGCTAGAAGTTCAAATTCAGGGCGCCAGTCCCAGGGGAAGGCTTTCTCTCTCTGTTGGCTCTGAGAGAAGGTCCTTGTCATCACTCTTCCCCTGGTCTAGGAGCTTCTCAGGACAAGGGACCCCAGGTCCAGAGGATGCTCTCAGCTCCCAGCCCTTCTTTCTTGGTGGCATGAGGTCCCATCTCTCAGCTTGCTTCTCTTTCCTTTTATCTCTTGTAAGACAAAAGGTGGTACAGGCCACACCCCAGAGAAACTCCTCTTAAGTCAGATCAGGGCTGTGACCTGAGTAAGAATGTTGCATCCCACCCTAATCCTCTTTAACATAACCTAATCTTGCCTTATTAACCATAGGCAGAGATTAGGATTTACAATACATAGGAAAATTACATCAGATCACAAAATGGTGGACAACTGCACAACACTGGAAATCATGGCCTAGCCAAGTCGACACACATTTTTGCGGGACACAATTCAATCCCTACCAACACATTCACCATTCTTCCCCAACTCTTGACCGAGTACCAGAACTCACCTAGGACAAAGTGCCAGGATGTTCCTAGGAGAATCATCAGCCCATCTAAACCAGGGCCTGTCCTCTTCCTGGGTAGGTGAGCCGTAATTAAAAAAAGCCTGGCAGAACTACTAACCTGGAACTGAGAACACAAAATCACATCCTTCCTTTTTCCCCATCCTATTAAGAGGCCTAAAACCATTTTTTAGCAAAATGGCTCATACTAACAACAGTAACCAACACTTATTGAGTCCTTACTATTGCCAGGACAGTTCCAAGCACTACACAAAGTGTCTTTTTTAAATGTATCTGTTCTGCTTCCTATTAGACTATAAATCTCTTAAGGGAAGGACCAATGATTTATACCTTTCCTGGCAGGCCTGGCACCTAATACATATCCTGATACCTAGTGGGTCCTCAGTAAACGCTTACGGATGGCAAGCAAATCTCTATACCCTCCTCCAAACTAAGCATTTGGATTTGAGTTCTGGCCTCTGGGGATCTGTTTCTGAAGTAGGCGGTCATTTCTCACTCATTGTGGGGTCTGCAACTGTTGAGTAAAAAGGAGGAAAGGGAACTGCTTTTGGACACAACCCTTACCTCCATCCCCTTCCCCCACGGCTTTGAGGGAAGTCACTTCAGAGAACCAGTAGAAGGGAGAGTTACAGAAGCTGCCGTGGGCCTCTCTACAGAGAAGCAGAATTCCCCACCTTTCCGCCTCACGGACTGCGGGCCATCAGGGACCTTTCTCACTCCCCCTATCCACCCCCACACACTAAAGGGTGAAACCTAGACTCTCTCTTCCAGTGGCAGCATCCAGGGGCTATTTTTGCAGACCTGCCACCAAGGGAAGCCCCACCGGCAAGCAGTGAGCGAACATGGAGTAGAAACAACAAATACGCTGGGAGAGAGAGCTGCCAAAACAAACCATACGCAAAAGGGCTGCTTGCCACCATCTCGGCTGGGCCCAGGCCAGGAGCACAGACAGACAAGAACACATACGTGCAGAGAGACACATAGTTCCACCCAGCTCCCTGCCGAACCCCCACACCGCTACTGGGGGGCTCCAGAGCAAGGGAGCCCTGCAGTCAAGGCTGATGGGGTAGAGGTGTGGCCTCACAGAGATGTCTCCAGCCTTGTCTCCCTCAAGTGTCCCCCCTGCCTCCTGCTTTCTAGCCACCCTGAGTGTCCCTCTAGTCCCAGAAAACTTCCTCCTTATTCATGAATCCTTGCCTTTGTACATGCTGATGCCTCTGCCAGATATGCCCTCTCCCTTCTCTGCCTGGTGAACTCCTATTCATCCTTCAATGCTCAGGTCAAAGGTGAAATTTGGACCCCACCAGGAAGTTAGCTGTTTCCTTCTCCACATCTCCATGTCATGGCTACTTATTCTTCTTATATAACACATTTCACTCATTCGCAAAAATCGTGTGTCCACCTTCTCAATTAGATGGTGAGCTCCTTGAAGGCAGGGGTCATGCCATTTCATACTCATCTTTGTATCCCAGGGCCCAGCCCAGGCCTTGTTCACTGCTGGCACTAGGGGTTTAGCTGTATGAATGAAGCACTGGTCCTTCTGCAGAGTTGTCTTTCTCGAGTTGCTGGCTGGCAGTCACTGACCCAGCATGAAAGTCCCTCATCAACAGAAATACACAAGGCAGAGGAGTCAATGTGAAAAAGTAGGAGCCTGATTTTCAGACCTCCAAGCGAAACTACCTCCAAGAGCACTAGAGTAAAGTTCTGTTACTAACCTTTAGATCAGAGTCGTCAAACTCTTGTGACCTTGAGCAACAGTATAAACATCAGGACCAGCACACATATGTGCATGTAAATATAAATGCAATTGAAAAAGCTAATAAAACACTACCGTTCCAGGTGAGCTTTTCATTTCTTTAAACAGGCTGTGCTCCAATAAATTGATTTCAAGACCCACAAATGGGTCACCACTCAGTGTGATACGTTGCTTTAGATTGACTCGTTTGATAAATGTGAAAAATCAGATGACCCCACAAATAGCCAAACAAAAAGTATGTACTACCTGTGTGCCCAGTCATTATTCGGGGTGGGGGGGAGGTTCCTTTTCTCCTACAGTAGCCCAGCTAAGAAGGGCCTACTGGGCTCTAGACCACAGCTGCTCAGAATACGGGCCCTGCAGTTCCAGGAACCAAATGAAGCAGTTAGTCCATCCCTACCGGAGCCTGGCACAAAGAAAGCCCCAACAGTCTTAGTTTTGCTTCCTTCATCATTAAACCCTCACCTTTTCTGTGCTTGGGAAGCATCACATCACCGGTAGGGAGCGACCAGGTGCCTCCCAAGCATATAACTATCCCAGCAGCATTTTAGTGGGTGAGGGTCCACTTTCTCCTGGCCTTCCTGGGAGGATGAAAAATTTTAAAGCAAACATTGGGATTGTCAGGCTTTTGCATCTCATACTAGTCTGTTACATAAACACTATTCCTACTACAATTTATGCTCTCTGTGAAGGCAGGGACCATTTGGGTTCCCCTCCTGTGGCTAAACCCTTGTGAAGCTTCCTACTCTCCCCTTCCAGGTACTCAAAGGAGAGAGAGCAGTGGCAGTGGGGTGGCAGGACATTAACACAACTTGGTACTTTTTATTTTGTCAGACAATGGTTACAGACCACACAGACTCAAGATACCCCCGGCTTGAACCCAAGAGACCACACCCTCCCTCTCGATTCAGAATTCTTTGGGCTGTGAGGGACCAGGCCTTTTCTGAAGGTCCATGACAGTACTTAGTACAAGGCAAGCCACATTTGACCCTAACTGTAGAGCTGGTGAGTGGATAAGGAGGTCCACCTTCATTTCTGTTACTTGGGTGTGACCCTGAAGACTCGGATATGGATGGCTGAGTTGTTTCGAGTGCGGATTAGTGGCTCGCGTGCATCAGTCTCTGGTTCCAGCTCATCCACAAGCTCCACAGTGGAGGTATTGGCAGCCACTTGCAAGGACCCGAAGCTGCCTGCCTGCAGCTGCAGTGCAATGTTTATCGCGCGGTTGATGGCTAGGCCTAAACCGTGAATGTAGAGCTCAGTGCAAGCGTTCTGACCCCGTGCCCCTCCGTCCAGCAGCTTCTGGCAGCGGGCCAGCTGAGCCTTGAAATCAGTCTTCATGTTGACGTAGATGTCATTGGGCCTCCGAGGCAGGCGGTGAGGAAGCCGCTTCCGAAGGGTGTACTCCACTGGGTCCAGCTCCGCCTCGACGGCTCCTCGGTGTTCTCGGTTTTCTGCCATGCTGTGTGCCCTGGACGGAGAAGGGGCGGGATCAGAAATAGGTCACCAGCAGCTAGGCATCTTTCCTACCCCAAGCGTGCACCCAGGAGGGGGACACACTACATCCCTCCTCCCTTCCAGCCTCAGTCCCCTCCCACTTACCACAAGCTCCCGGAACTCCCCCACCCCCAGTTCTTATTCATGCATTACATCGCCCCAACCTCATGCCCTTCCAACACTCCCCCTCCCCGGCTCTTCCGCGCCTACTCTCTCCGTTCCACAGCGCCCTCCAAGCGCACGCTGCCCGCTCTCAGCCAGACCACTCAAAGGCTGCGCCGACCCGCCCAAGTAGGGTGCGATGCCCGCAACCCGCAAGGAACGGAAAAGACGGGAACGGGCGCGCAACAGGCACGCCTAATGGCAGACAACCCGTCGGCAAGGGCCTGCGTAGTGCGCAAGTTCGCCCGGCCCCCCGCGAGCGGGAGGCCAGTGAATCCACGAATCGTCTTCCCGCCTCTGTTCTCCACGCCCCTTTCCGGAGCTATCGCGCGTTGTGTTTGAGTAACGCGAGGCTTCTGGGGAAGATGGCATCTACCACGTGTACACTTCGAAGGCGGGGAGGAAGGGGGAGGGTACCAAGTCTAAGCGGGGGAGGGGCTAGGAGGAGGAGGGTCAGCTTCCCTAGGCGAGGCTACGTTCCCCATACAGCAGGGGTCCCGATGGGAGGCGAAGGAGAGTCGAGGCGACTTTAGGAGCGTGGAGGGTGGGTTTCTTCCCAGAGAGGGCAGGGAGGAGGGTGAGCACAGGAGAACGTGGTTGTGAAGTCTCCTGAAGGCTAGTCGGGGCTCCCGCGTCTTTCGCTGTCGGCAGTCCCTCTGGCCAGAAGAGGCGTGGGCAGAGTCAGCAGAGCTGATCTCCTATCCAAGGTCCTCTGTGGCCCAAAGACGAGGCGGGGCGGGGGAGGGATTTAGTGTCAAAGCCAGGTCCCTACCCGGGCGGAGGACAGCGGCCCGGGACTCCCCCTATAGTTGTTCATATGGGTACCCATTCCTCTTCCTTATCTCTGTCAGGCTGATTCCCAGGCCAGTCCTTAGGGGCCCAAGCTGAGAACTGTAAGCCAAGCCTTCACTCTGATCTAGTCTTCGAATTCGGAAGGGTCAGGACACTTCCCTGGGGGTACGCTGACCCACCCCACCCCTTAACCACCGCCCACGGGCTTTTCGACCGCTGCCTGCGACCAGGGAGCAAGGATTTGCGCCCCCTGGCGGGTGAGGCGGGCGGCAGCTCGCAGGGTTCTTGGCTCCCCAAAGCCAGTGCGAAGGGTTTTTCCTCCCTGGGGGGCTTCTCTGCCCAGATCGGTGTCGTTTCTGGAGAGTTCTCAGTAGAAAGAGCGCTGATACTGAGTTACACCTGCACTGGGCAACCTGAATGGCGCTCTGCTTGATTTCCCCATCACCAAAATGGAAATGATAATTCCTGTCTTGCCACTGAGTTGTCGCAAAACTCAATATAACTTTGAAAACTGTAAGCTTACACTTGTGAGTTAGCATTTTTATGACCCCCCAGCCTCTCTGTTTGCTCAGGATGGTATCAACCCTCATTTGACCGGACGTTGGAAAGAGGTCAAGTTCCTGAAAACTTTGTTCTCAGCACTCTTTCAATCCTTGAATTCTCCTTTTGCTTCAGATTCTTTCACTAACCACAAACTTGGGGTTTATGGAGTGGGGAGAGGTGGGAGGAAAGGCTGGCTCCAGAGCTTATGCTCCTGCTTACAACCCTATTCTGCCTCAGAAGTGACATCCCAGCTGGGTTTTGATGGACAACTAGGAGTTCTTCAGGGAACCAAGGAGTGTAAGTGCATTCAGGAAACACTGAACAGCATTTTAAAAACAGTGGAAGCATAATCTAAGCTTCTACCTCAAAAAACTAGAAGAGAAAACTAAAGTCAAAGCAAGAAGATAGAAATAATAAAGAGCAGAAATCAGGGACATGGAAAACAGAAAAACAATAGAGAAAATCAAGCCAAAATCTGGTTCTTTGAAAAGATCGGTAATATTGATAAACCTCTAGCAAGACTGACAAAAAAAAAGAGAAGCCACAAATTATGATCAGAATTTAAAGAGGAATATAGTACTAAAGATCCCTTAGACATTAAAAGGATACCAAGGGAATAAGGAGCCCTGGTGGCACAGTGGTTAAAGCACTCAGCTGCTAAAGGAAAAGTCGGTGGTTTGAACTCACCTGTTGCCCTGTGGCCTTGGAAACTCAGTGGGGCAGTTCTACTCTGTCTTATAGGGTCACTAGGAGTTGGAATTGATTCCACAGCAGTGGGTTAAGGGAATACATGCACTCCTCACTTGTTGACATGGCTGCGTTCCGAAGACCAGGTGGTTACCCCAGAATCGGTATTAGGCGAAAATGGAGGCGGACTACATCATTATATAACTGCCAGATTACATCATTACATAACTCCCAAACCACTGAGAATCATGGCCCAGCCAAGCTGACGCATAACCACCCCAGCTAGCATTACTCTCACCTCGCACTTCGGCATTTGTTACTTCCAGATGTATGTCCTTAATGTGCAAAATAGTCAGATAGATTTTTCACTATTGTCATAAATGTGAAATGTCGGATAACGAGATAGTCAATACGTAAGGAGTAGGTGGTAATACAAACAACTCTCCGAACACAAATTCAACAACTTACGTGAAATGGCCCAATTTTTAGAAAACCACAAACTACCAAAACTCATCCAAGACAAAACAGATAATCTGAACAGCTCTATAGCTATTAAAGTAATTAAATCCATAGTTAAAAACCTTTAGAAAAAGAAATATCTGGGCACAGGTGGTTTCACTGGTGAATTCTACCAAAAGAAGAAATAACACAAATTCTACACAATCTCTGCCAGAAAATACAAGAGGTGGGAACACTTCCTACCTCATCTTATGAAGCCAAACCAGACAAAGACAGTACAAAAAAACAAAACTACAAACTGGTATCTCTCAGGAACAAAGATGCAAAAATCTTCAACAACATGTTAGCAAATCAAATCCAGCAATATATAAAAAGAACTATACACACAACCAAGTGGAGTTTATTCCAGCAATGCAAGACTGGTTCAATAGGAGAACCCAAATTAATTTAATCCACCATATTAGCAGGCTAAAGAAGAAAAACGACATGATCATATCAATTGATACAAAAAAGCATTTAACAAAACTCAGCGCCCATTCATGATAAAAACTCTAAGCAAACAAGGAACAGAAGGAATTTCCCCAGCCTAATAAAGAGCATTGACAAAGTTTATATTATATTAATAGTGAAAGATGGAAAGCTTTTCTCTTAAAATAAGAAACAAGGCAAGGATGTCTTCTCTTACCACTCTTATTCAACACAGTATTTATTGGAAGTCCTAGCAGTGCAATAAGGCAAGAAAAGGATACAGATTGGAAAGAAAGAAATGAAACTGAATCTATTTGCCTATAACATGACAGTACACATTAAAAAATCCCAAGGAATCAGACCTAATAAGTGATTATAGCAAGTTACAAGATTCAAGATTAACATACAAAATCAACTGAATTCCTATATATTAGTAATGAACGATTGGAAACTGAAATTTAAACCACAATGCCATTTACAATCACTCCAGAAGAACAAGAAAGAGGAGTAGGAGAAATACTTAGGTATAAGACTAACGAAACATGTACGAAGATCTGTATGCTGAAAACTACAAGACACTGATGAAAGAAATACAAAAAGGTCTAAACAAATGAAGAGATGTATCAGTCTATGTATTTGAAGACTCAGCATAGTAAAGATGCCAATTCTGTCCAAACTGATCTGTACATTTAATGCAATTCCTATAAAAATCCCTGCAAGCGTTTTTTATAGGTATAGACAAGCTTATTTAAAATCTATATGGAAAGGCAAGGAAGTAAAATAGCTAAAACAATTTTGAAAACCAATTAAGTTGTTGGAATCACACTACTTAAGACTTACTATATAAACACAATAATCAAGACAGTGTAGTATCGACAGAGGGAAAGAAACAAAAATCAATGGAACCAAATAGAGAACTCAGAAATAGACTCATACCAGTACAGCCAACTGGCTGTTGACAAAGGTGCAAAGGCAACTCAATGGAGGAAGGATAGTCTTTTCAATAAATGGTGCTGAAACAGCTGAACATCTAGCTGAACCTTGACCCTATACAAAAATTAACAAGAAAAAAAAGGATAGTAGATCTAAATATAAAACTTAAAACTATGTAATTTGTAGAAAAAAATGGGGAATAAAAATCTTCATGACCTAGGCTCAGGCTAAGAGTTCTTAGACATGACACCAAAAGTTTTTTTCTAGAGAAAAAAAAAAAAATTGATAAATTGTACTTCATCAAAATTAAAACTTTTGCACTGTGAAAGACCACATTAGTAGGATGAAAAGACAAACCACAGACCAGTAGAAAATATTCACAAATCACATATCTGACAAAGGACTTGTATCCAGAATATATAAAGAACTCTCTAAACTCAAGAGTAAGAAAACAAACAATCCACCAGAGATGTGAAAGACTTATATGATGAAAATTATAAAACATTGCTGAAAGAGGTTAACAAAGATTCAAATAAATGGAAATTTGTTCCATGTTCATGGATTGGAAGACTTAATATTATTAAGACGTCAATACTACCAGTGATGGTTAATGTTATGTGTCAACTTGGCTAGGCTATGATTCTCAGTGGTTTGGCGGACACTATGTACTGTAATCACCTTTCACTTTGTGATCTGATGTGAGCAGCCAACCAGTTGAAAGGGGAGTTTCCCTGGGGGTGTGGCCTTCCTCCAGTATATAAATAGACATTCCCTCTCTCCCCTTCCCCCTCCCCCTTCCCCTCCCCTGCACTCTTCTCATCGCCTGACCTCTGGTTTTTGGGATGTAAGCCTTAAGAAGTTTCTGGCATCCTAGCTAGAGCAACAGGACAAGAAAAACAAATAAAAGGTATCCAGGTTGGGAAAGAAGAAATAAAATTATCTCAGTTTGCAAATGATATGATCCTATATATACAAAATTCCTATGAGTCTGCAAGAAAACTTCTAGAGCTAACAGAGGAATTTAGCAAACTGGCAGGGTACAAGGTCAACAAACAAAAATCAGCTGGGTTTCTATACACCAGCAATGAGAAATCTGAAAGGGAAATAAGGGAAGCAATTCCATTTGCAATAGCATCTAAGAGATAAAATACCTAGGAATAAATTTAACCAGGATGTGAAGGACTTATACAATAAAAATTATAAAACACTGCTGAAAGAGATTAAAGAAGACTTAAATAAATGGAAAGATGTTGCATGTTCATGGGTTGGAAGACTAAATATTGTTAAGATGTCAATAATACCCAAAGCAATCTATGGAGTCAATACAGTCTCAATCAAAATTCC